TAATTACGGCGATAATCAGGCGGCCTTAAGTCTTAAACAAAGCACAGAAGCTTTAAATCGTGCCAAGGCTTATGGACGTATTGCCTTTGCTGTACCCAAGGATCAACAGCCTTATATTAATGATATTATAACACAAGCTGAACAGAAAATTTTAACTCCTTTGATAGAATTGGATACTCCAGGCAAGGAGACAGTACGTGTTATTATTTTAGCCGATCCAGATGGTCATGAGATTTGTTTTGTCGATGAGGAAGGTTTTGGTAAACTGTCGGCTGTTGAAGACGATGCTGATAAAATGTTGGATAAATATATTGGCAAAGATCCATTCCAAAAAGAATTGGATGCTAAAGAGCAATAAAGCGAGGAATTTTTGATATTTTTTTAATACGTTTTTTTAACAAAGACCCCACACACCAGTAGATATTGTGCAAGCACTACACCGTTTTTGGATTATTATTGGAAATAATGATATTCAACTGATAAATTGGCAAATATATGCAATATAACACACCAACATTTTTCAAATACTTATTACTTGGTTTAATCGGACATCATATAAAATTCAAAATTTTCATCAAAATTCTCATCCATCACCATTTCGAACTTTCATTTATCTACAATTTCATTTTCAAGATCATTAATGCTGTTATAAAAGGTAAGATTTTTTATTTATAATAATACCAACAGTATTTTTATGTTTTTTGAACGGTTTTTAAAGACACTTTAGAGATTATGTCCATATTCATAAATTAATAGTTTGTTATTCACTTATTCGATACAAAATTCCTGCAACTTTATTAAGCATTTATGAATGATGGGGGTTAATCTTTAGAACTAATATTTATAAAAAGTTATTTACGTACAGCCCTCGTTTCTTTAAACCCTAGCTTAATATTAAACTAAAGTATTCAAAATAGAAGAAATTTGCTTTCAATTGATGGTTTTTCTTTTTCTAATAACAATAACTATGCCTAATATTATCATCACTATATCCAAAGAAACCCTATTAGAAAATGTATACCTATAAGTAATTCTATCTGAGATTTTGTGGTTTTAAACATGGCACTCTCAGGCATTATGAAAATATATACAAGATTGTATTTGTATGTACAAATGTACATACATACTTACAATATATATTTTTCTGATTTTTGTTTTGATCGAATTTGTGGTAATTTTTTATATATTTTTTCTTAATGTCTGCTTTGTGTTCATTCACTTTGTTGTTGTTGTTTTTTTTGCTTTTCATTAAACATTATCTAAAGTTTATCAACTCAATAATACAATGTGAAATGTGCCTGATTTCTCATGCAATTGCATGTTTGTTGTTGATGATGTTTTTGCTAAAAAGGCAGTGGAATCAAAAAAAGAAGAAATATAAAACAATAGTAACAAGAAATGGTTTAGTGATGTTTATTAATCGGTTTGCATTAAGTAATCGGTTTGGAGTAAACTTTTTAAGAATACATATTAATTTTATAAATTCAACTTTTTCAAATCTTTTTCATATTTATTTCATATATTAATTTCCTATTAAAGATTCATAACATCATTATAAAAATATAAAATGAATCTATTTTTCTTCTCAATAAAAAATATTCGAAAATACATTTAATTTAGGTCCGAAAGGAACTCACAGCTTGGAAATTTCAAGTAAATCTATACAGAAATAATTATACTTACAACTTTGATAACAGTACTTTGGTACTTTTACACTAATCCTTTGTGACTTGCAAATTACAATTAGGTGTTAATTTCTGAATGCCGCAATCGAGGCGTATGCGTAGTAGAAGTCATGTTGGGGACAAACAGACCGCTGCAACGACATATAAGCTTCTATATCAGGATCCCTATTTCATGCCATATTAATCTCGATAAAGATAAACAGGATCCTGCTTCAGAATGATAGGTGAATAGAACCCAAAAATGTCCCGACAGGGAGAAGACTACTTCAACACTTTGTACGTAGGGTAGGTTAGGTTTAGGGAGCAGCACACAAGTTGTGTGAGTTTGTACGTAGCGTATCACAAAAAAATTTTTGGGAATTTGTAGAAACAATTCTCACTTAGTACATTGTCCTGCTTGGAGTACACCAAGCGAGTTTCGCGATATCATGCGAAGCTTATATAAGTTCATCCTCTTACAGTAGGGATTCGCTTGGCAATTATTAAGTGTTAACTCAATTTTCTATTTTTCAATGCCTATTGGTCCTGCATAGACCATGTCGTCCCCATAATAACTCCCACATGTTCCACTGTCCAGTCCAACCTATTTTACTTACTGTTCTTTAAGGATTAATCTCATATAAATAGCGCAAATACAAAGCTTTTACTACAATAACTTGGACTACGAAGAGACCTTTCCAATTACCAGTACAGAAGTTCTGCGATCATATAACTCCAATCAATTGATTTCTTGGAGTCAGAGTCAGTTTAAGATCGGTTGACCCGAGGCATCGATAGCGTTTCCCTATGATTGCAATAACATGTAGAAAATGTTAGTGATCAATAAGGAATTTAGTGGGTCACTGCGGAATTGCTTGTGTGAGACGAAGATGAGCTAAGAACAGTGCGGTATATTTTATGCAACTGTCCTAGAGCTTAGAGTCTGAGACTGAAATGGTTAGGAAAAAGTGGAATGAACTAGGTGCGATTTTGGTCTACCTTTTTGGGTTTTATCAGTGGAATAGATTTTCTATGAAGGACCATATAGATTTCCCTTCACATATCCACTTTCTTTTGATAGCCTACACCAGTATATTGTGGAGGATATTACGCGTTAGTGTTGTTGTTTTAAACACCCAAAAATATTGGTCCTACATCTTAAGGTATACAAATCGGCTCAGAATCAGTTACTGTCTGTCTGTCTGTCTATGTAAATCTTGTGCGCAGGTCCCAATTTTCAAGATAATTAGATGAAATTTGTCACATACTCTTCTTATGACACAAAGACGAAGACTACGATTATAATAAGTCCATTATTTCGCCTAACCCTCGTACAAACGTACCCTTGAATAGGTCTTTTAAGCTCATAATTATGGTAAATATTCTAGTATCCCTCGAAAAATCAACAAAACTTAGTTTTATATAAGTCTAAATGATACTGCCGATTTTCGTAAAGATCGGGCCTCAGTTGGTCCTAGCTCTCATACAAAGTCCCCTTTAGAAATATCACAATGACATTCTGGTGTTTCCTATCTGAATTCTTTGTATTTAAGGGCATCACAGTGGACCCTTAGAGTTTCTTTTTAAACTAAAGTAGAGATTAGTTATTTTCTCCACGCAATTTTCATCAATCCGAAGGAGAATTAAAGTGATTTTCTTTTTGTCTGCTTCATTTAAAGTCTGTTTATAGAAGAAGATAGAAGAGTAATCATAGTTTGAATCGTTTTGTAGAAAAGTATACTTTATAAAGTACAATTCCAACTGGATTATTTTATGTTTGGTGTAACGATAGAAAACATTTTTGTTCCTTTTTTAGCAATTTATGTTTGCATAAGAATATAGACAAAACAATTCAAATTGGATTTGCTTTTACTAAAAATTTTACTTTTAGTTTCATTTTTTATTTTCTTTTTAAAAGAAAACGTCTACTACTATTTATAAATTAACACACCAATTCCAAATTAAATAAAAAAAAAACTCTTATGTTTACTGATCATTTCTTTTCATTTAACGGTTATTATTACTTTGTGCATGTTTGATCACGTTTGCTTGTAACGGTGTTTGTCTAGTTATTGCACAATTCTATAGAAATTTCTCTCATATTTACATACACGCATTTCGTTTCTTTTTGTTGACATTTACAAATTTCCCTTAACAAGTAATCGATTAGACATAATATTATAAAATAAATATTTCTCCATCAATATGCAACAAGACAAAATCTAATAAATATTGAGAAAAATAAAAAAAAAATATTACTCATACTCTTTGATTTTACCTTTAAGTATGGCGCTAATTGCATGTTTACAGGTACAACAAAACATAAAACAAGATCAAGAGAAGGAGAGAGTTTTTGAAGAGTTTTATTAATGCTCAAAATATAAAAAGAGCAAGAGAGTTTCTGTAAATATCACCTTCTCCAGTTTACTCAATTATCTCTATGAAATGAAAACTCAACTCTATGTTGTGTGTGTTGTATTTTGATTTTAGTAACGAGTTTAAACATGTCCATTGAATTTGTTTTGTTTTTATATTTAGTTTGAGTTTGTTATCGGTTGAGTAATGAGATACATTTAAGAAAAAAAGTGCATGCGTGAAACGATTTGAAATTTTTTACTAAATAATAAAAAATAATAAACAAAACAAAAGAATTTTTGTGCGTTTACTAACAAATACCTTTAGTGCGATTAAAAAAAAAATACTTTAATAAATTTATCGAAAATTGAATTGTTTTCTAAAGAATATTGAAATTAAACTTTCAAATATAACACAACAAGCAGGTGTTTAAACGTGCGTGTTGTATGATTTCGTGCATTAAACAAAAAAGCAAAAAAATATACGTTAATTTTGAAATAAATATTTATATCTATCTGTACAAGTATTTTACTTCTTTGCAAGTTTGTTTTGTGTTCACTGTTCGCTTGTCGGCGCTTTAAGTTTTATACCCTTAAATGGTAGTGCTGCTAGCTGGTTTTTTTTTTCTGTGAAACGTTTCCAATTGTTTTTTTGGTAACTCAACTCTTTATTTGGTTCGTTTAAAGCTAAAATAAGAGTTAATTTCGTATATATTCGAAATACAACAAAAAAATGAAATCATAAAACCGGAACCAATATATTTTTTTTGAGTGTTTTCAAAATTTAATGTAAATTTTGGTCAATTAACGAAATTTGAATATTAAGTGCTTTGTAAATAAACAAGTGAAAAATAAAAAACAAAAACGAAAAATAAAAAAATTATCACAAATAAAATTTAAAAGTAAATACATACACATACACATACCTATAACTAACAAACGATTATTTGTTAATAAATATCACTAAATCATCTTCAATTTCTTTAATAAAATTTCAACACAAAAAGATTTAAAATTTTCTTTTCACACATTTAATTTTGTGAAAATAATAAAAATCGAACAAATTTGTTAAAAAAAAAATTATCAAGTGTTTTCTCATTGCAAAGTTTAAAAGTGTTAAACTAATAGACAACATTTTGATTGTTATAAAAAACCTACAGCTCTCATCTCACCTGTCAAAAGTGATTTAATGGATTATTTACTTTTTCAAATTTTTGAAATTTTCAACAAAACAGCCCTCATATCATATTTAACGGATTAAATGTTTTGATACTGCTGTAAAAACATTAAAATTATTAATTATAGGTGAGTTTTGTTTTTGTCTCTACTAGTTTTTATTTTAATTATGGGGGTTAATTGTAACGCATATTAATGCTTTCACTTTATTTAATAATACAAATGACCCTCATCTCAGGTGTACTTTAGTAGAGGGTGTTAATTTCAAAGATTCAGTTGGTTGTATTTAATGATTCATTTCGTTCATTTCGCTATAGAAAAGCAGTTAAAGAAGAATTTGTAGAAAAAAGTTAATTCCACAAAATACTGCAACTCTAATTAGTTATATAAATTGTGTTAAACAGATTTATTTTTAATAATTGCTAATTTATTTTATACTTTATAACGTTTAAAGTATCTATTAATGCAGTAATATTTTTTTAATTCGATGACTTAAATGAAAAACAAGAGCGCTATATTCGGTTAAGTCGAATAATATATTTTTTTAAATTCTTAAATTTTTTAAATTTATTTTTATTTATACCCTATACCACTATATTGGAGAGGGTATTATACATTTGTGCTGATGTCTGTAAAACCCCAAAAATACCCACCTTAAAGTATACCAATCGGCTCAGAATCACTTTCTGAGTCGATTTAGATATGTCCGTTTGTCCGTCCGTCTTTCTAAACCGCTGGACCGTTTAGAAGTCCTGTATGTCTGTAAGGAATTATAGACTACTCTTTATTTCGAAATTTCAAATAAGTTAGAGTCCTCTAATTTTATGTGGACAAAATGAACGGACTAGCGATAGGGGCGTGGCATCTTTCATGTGAAGAAAATATTAAATCAGTATATCTGAGAAAATATAACAGAATCCTCAAATTTTGGCGGAACTTCTTTAGTGTCAATATGATTATTTAAGACAAAAAGTGGGCAGACTAGCAGTAGTGGGCGTGGCACGTCCCATATGAATTAAATACAAAAATTCGTTTATCTGGGAAACTATTAGAGTTAAAATCTTCAAATTGCATGAAGAACTTTAACATCCATGTAAACATTTTGGGTAATTAATTGGCGGACTATAAATGGGGGCGTAGCACTTCCCATGTAATTTATATACAAAAATTCGTTTATATGGGAAACTATTAGATTAATTTGCTTGGCATCTCTCATATGTAAAAAATTGTATGTCTGGAAAACTATAGTAGTTAAAATATTCAAAAAGTGGGTTTTTTATTTATATTGTTTTAAGGGTAGAATGTCACTCTGGGTATAGATAGTTCACTTATGAACACTAGTATTAGGACAAAATTTTGCATAAATTTTTTAAATTGAAATCTCTCCATTAACATTTATAAGACCTCGTATAACCCCTCTTTCAGAAAATCACTTTTTTTGTCAACAAATTTTATTTAATTAAAAAATATTATATGCTCTTATTTTCTGATCATAAATGATTCCTTTGCCCTATTCACGACTTTTCTAAAAAAGTCTATTACACAGAGGGAAAAACCGGTAGAAAAGTATAGAAATTGATAAAATCCGTTGTTAAAAGTGAGCTTACCACGTTTGTTATCATTTTGACTACGGATGTGTATAAAAATTAAATAACACCCAGTAATCCTTTGACAACCACCGTTGTCATTGCAACAACGCATTATTGTCATTTCGATTACACTTTGTTCCATTTCGACCACACATCGTTGTCATTTACACAACGCAACGTTCTGTTTGCGGAGTGACAACATAGCGTTGTCACTTTGATAACACATCGTTTTTACTCAGAAAAATTATATATAAAATTTGTGTAGTTACCGACAATCGTAGATCGAATCTGCGTTTATGATTTGAAATTTACATTCGTCATTTTGTGAACCGACTTTTTGGGATGTAAACATTATAAGGAAGGTTGTGAAATTTGTTTAACCTTTATTGTTACTAATACATTTTTCTATTTACATACACTTAACCACATTTTCATCCTTCAACTATATTCTAAGTATTGAAAGAAATATATTCAATTTCCAGATTGATTTTTTTTACATCCCAACAAAACATATTTCAAGCACTTTATTTGTTTACCTCAAAGTATATGCATGTAGAATCAATAAAAATACAAATAAATATTGACATTAAATTTTCATTTAACTAACACATAAACGTATGTTTATATCCCTCACTCAAAAGGTCCTAAAATTTTATTTAAATTTGTTTAGTTTTTTTTTTTTTTTTTTCTAAATATTTATTTATAAGTCTTTGTAGATTTGCATACACATATACAATATACCAACAATACATAGAAACGAAATTTGCATAATTCTAGAAAAGAGAATTCTTTGAAAACCGCAAAAATTCGTTCATTGTTTTTAAACCAATATCCTGTGAAGGTACAAGGAGTATAGTTTTTATTTGTCAGACAAATATACAATAAAAGAAAATAAAGAAAAATAAACTAAATACAGGTAAACTATAGAAAGAAATTCCCATACTACTTCCTCTCGGCACCAAAAAACAAATACAAAAACTATAATCTTCACAATACTCACACATACTCAAACCCTATTCAAACACATTTACATGTGAGCAAATCCATACATTTTTGCACAATTAAATACCTATGGATTTAAGCATTTGTGTCGTTTTGGGGTTTAATGTACAAACATTCATATATGATTTTTTTTCTTGGCTTAAATTCATACATACACACACATTTAATAAGCCTATTGTTTTCTCTAGATATTGTTTGTATTCGTACGTTACGGTAGGAGCCTTAAAAAATTATATATAAAAAATAAATAAAACAAATGCATAAAATTTTATGGTTTAATTAAAACCAAAGAAAAAAATGTCATTTCTTGTTTCCTCATGCTCTGAGTGGCTTTGAGTTGGGAATTACAATGACGGCGTCTGGCTGCACTTATGAAATTATAAAACTGACATAATACTTGCAGGGGGTGTATGTTTTAACAAGATTTTATAGCCGGGATATCTTTTTTAATTTGTTTTCTTTTATGTTGTAATAAAATATTTATTTTGGGTTTAAAAATATTATGTTTTAGTAGAGTAAATTTTTATTCTGGTTTCAAAGACTATTTTAGATAAAATAATCCTAATTCAGTAATCCTCGTTAAGCTATTTTTGTCAAAGAGTAGTAAGCTAAAACTAGATTGTTCGGATGAGATATACACCGGAATATGAAAAAGTTATGAACGTAATGTTCCGACAATTAAAAAAAAATAAAGAAGTCGAATTGTGTCGATTGTTAAAGACCCAAAACTGATTTTCAAACTCGATGTATAATACAACAAGTCAAAGATTTTTAAGTAGATTATTCCTTAGTTTATAATATAACTACACCATTTCCAATTAAATTTCAGAAATATTCAATTAAATTTTAGAAAATTGTAATTAAGTGTCAGAAATTTATATTTGTCTTTCAGATTTTTCCACTGTATTTCAGAAAAGAATATTAATTCCAACTTAGTTAGTTAGTTAATTAGTTAGTAAGTTAGTAAGTTAGTAAGTTAGTAAGTTAGTTAGTTAGTTAGTTACTTAGTTAGTTAGTTAGTTAGTTAGCTAGTTAGTTAGTTAGTTAGTTAGTTAGTTAGTCAGTCAGTTAGTTAGTTAGTTAGTTAGTTAGTTAGTTAGTTAGTTAGTTAGTTAGTTAGTAGTTAGTTAGTTAGTTAGTTAGTTAGTTAGTTAGTTAGTTAGTTAGTTAGTTAGTTAGTTAGTTAGTTAGTTAGTTAGTTAGTTAGTTAGTAGTTAGTTAGTAGTTAGTTAGTTAGTTAGTTAGTTAGTAGTTAGTTAGTTAGTTAGTTAGTTAGTTAGTTAGTTAGTTAGTTAGTTAGTTAGTTAGTTAGTTAGTTAGTTAGTTAGTTAGTTAGTTAGTTAGTTAGTTAGTTAGTTAGTTAGTTAGTTAGTTAGTTAGTTAGTTAGTTAGTTAGTTAGTTAGTTAGTTGGTTGGTTACCTAGTTAGTTACACTCAAACGTGGTAAGCTCACTATTGACAATGGATTGTGAGTTTACCACGTTTGTTAACTTTTAGACAACGGATGTGTATAAAATTTAGATTGCGACAACGAATTGTTGCAAAGTTGACAACGTTAAATAGTGTTGTCGTACGTATGTATATACTTGACAACGGATGTTATTAAAAAATTTGGTGTCGTTTTGGAACCAGGCGTGCCCTCTTTATTTATGGAGCAAACGCTTGTCTGAATTATTCTGGTCTGAATTCTGGAGATATGTATTTGAGTTCTTCAGAAAGCAAGAAAGACTTCTTAAAAACGAAAACTAATTACATATTTCATATTTTTGTTTCGTAATCCTTGTTTCTGAAATCATAATTGTTCTGCCTTTTCTTTTCGTTATTCTGTAGTTTTGTAGCTTATCGCCCTAAATCCAACCTTAAACATTTCCACATTAAATTAGACTCTAGAATGCACCAACCTATACTCGAATGCCTCTTTTCTTACAAAACAGACGTTATCAAAATTTAAATATTTATATTAAGAAATAAAAAGCAAATAGACAATTAAAATAAAATAATAAAAAAAACGAATAAATAAAACATGATTATTCTTTTACCTAATCTCACTTTCATGTATGCACTTTGAGTATAATGTTTCCCTTTTTATTTATTTAAAATTTTTTGTTGTTATTACGTATACGAGAGTATTAAACAATAAACTTGAAACAAAAACAATTCTATGTAGAAAATAACCCAGATTATCATTATAATAATTAAATAATGTTCCAGTTTCATAAACACCAAATAAGCCAAGTGTAAATAATGCTGACACCGAAACAAAAACTCTAACGAAAAACAAAAAAATAAATAAATATTTTAAATAATAAAATTTTACAAAAAAATATTTGCTTTTGTATAAAACAAAGTAAATTACAAATTTAATTAAGAGAAATTTTTTTTGTGTCGAAATAATAGTTAATAATTTATTGCTAAAACAAATCTAGCATAAAATTCATGAGCTTTAAATCCTGTCTTTTTATACAAATTGGAAAATTTGCTAATTTTACACATGTAGAATTATTTTTTTCAGGCTTAATTATTAAAATATAAAACAAT